GAAGTGATGGCAGCGTGACCATCTCCCCTGGGGGGTGATTTCTCGCTTTCTGTCTCTATGTCTCTCTCTGTCTGTCTGGTGAGAGCACACACCCTACAGTGAAAATATCTCAAAAAAAAAAATACTTCCTGTGTACCCATTTGAGGACTAGCTACTGGCCTCACCCACGGGGTTAACAAACATAAAACGATGAGTGCAAAATGGACAGGGAAGCCATTCCAGCTTGACTCCGTTTCCCAGAATTGACAGCCTAGTCACCGTGCTCTCCACCCAAAGTGCTTTACCCTTACCCCATCCAGAGCTAGGGCCTGGGTCTGTCACACTCATTATCCAATAACCTAAAGGCATGACCAGAGCCCAGCCGTCACGCTGCCCAAGGCAGTCCTGTAAAACCCTTTGTCCATGGGGTTTGTGAATGCGATGAGAACACCCAGGGCGACATTCCCTTACTGAGTGTATATTAATACATTTCCCCCTCGAGGAGCACAATGCACAAGTTCATCTTGTCCCTTCCTTCTTCTTTCCTAGGCTGAAGGGCAACTAAGTAACAATGAGAGCACTGTCCCCTCCTCTTCCCCTGGGGCCTAAACTTGGCCTGAAAAGTCTTGCAGCGTGACCAAGAGGTCAGAGGCCCCCAAATGGAGATGGGTCAAACTGAGTGTGAGGACCAGCCTTGGGCAAGCCACTGGCGCTAGGTCTCAGTTTCTTCTAACCCATGGCATGGGGGCAGGATTTATCTCACTGGGGGAAGCTGGGTAAAAGGTCTGTAGAATGACGTAGGGTGGGTGCTCCAGGCCTGCTGGTGACAGCTAGGAGCTGTGCTACCCTGTTCAGATCAGCTAGCACACCAAAGGCGGGGCACGGGAGAGTCATCCTAAGGTCTGGAATTCCAACAGCTACAAGTATATCCTGGACACTTGCATGGCCGCATATTTGAAGTGATTTGATTTTTTTTTTTTTTTTTTGTCTCCCGACTTGCTAAGCTAAAAACGAAAGGGAAACCGTAGGTGCTTAACTATCGACTTCTTCCTTCCCAGTTTCAGACTAAGTCAAAAACACACGTACTGAATATTCATCAACTTCTTTTGTTTGTTTCTAGGAAAAATACAAGAGGTTAGAAGCTAAATGTTTTCTCACATGTTCACCATTTCTTCTCGGACTCAGGAGGAGAGGGAAAGGCTGGGCCCTGCTAGCTGTCAAGAGATCTCTCCGTCTCTCTCGATATCGCCTACTAACACCATAACTGGTAGCTATTCCCTCTGTAGGGAGAGAGAGGACAATCTGGATGGAAGGTGCTTTGTTTGCAAGCCATCTCCCAAACAGAGCCCTGCCATCCCGAAACCCAGTGTGAAGCTGTCACCTGGGTGATAATGAGCACTTTTACTAAAAGGATTTTCCCCATCCCAGAGCTCAACCTCTAAATAGAACTTTGAGACCCAGTCTCACAGGAGGAGCGAGATGGTCATGATTTAACTAGCGCCTGTTAGGTGCTAGTTCCCATCAGTCACAACAGCCTGAGAAAACAGGTAGATGGTGGGGGACGCTCTGCAGACACTCCAGCCGCTTACCCCCTCCTTGGGGGAAGCCTCCTTCTGTGGAAAGCCAGCCAGGGGCCCTCCGAAGGCTGGACTGTAAACCAGAGGATCCTGATTTCCTGACCCCCCAGCTCCAGCTGATACATGGCACTGCATGCTGAAGTTCGGACTTTCAACACCCACAAGTCACTGTGAGCCAAAATAGGCTGGCAGGCCCCTGTGTCCAGAGGTGGATTTACAAGCTCACAGCTGACTGTGATAATAAAAGAAGCCTTACCTTTGTAGGGTGGTTGGCAGTTTATCAGGCACTGCTTCAAACACTTGATCCTCCAGGCCACCCAGGGACAGTCCCTCACCCCGCAGTGAGGGACTCCCTGTCTCCGTGAGCACAGTAACCCCCAGCTCCCTGCACTCATGGGTGGTTTTCATCTGTATCATTACTCTCATCCCATTACAGCTCTGCACTTTGATAAGTAACCCCAGATCTGGAAGGTCAGTTAGCTCTGGGGAACAGGGTTGCAATTCATGGCCAATTGGTGGACAAGTACCATCAAATAGGACACAGGGGACACCTGGGACCATCAGGCCTGCCCTGCTGCACCCAGTTCAGGGTCCCAGTCCAGCACAAGGCCAGGCCACCCTGGAAAGCCCTCCAGGAGCAGCATGGCTAGGCAAGGTGTGGGTGCTCCACCCTCTCCACTCAGGAGCCCAGAGATGTCCTGGGGCCAGTCCTCCTGGTGGGGACCTTTTCTCCTCACTCTTCGCCAGCGTCTTCCCTACTGCGCTGCAGAGTGGGGAGACTGGAAGGCACTGGAGACCACTGGGAGATGGTGTGTGTGGGGGGTGTTGCTAGGAAAAGTGGGCGATGAGCTGAAGATTTGGGAAGGCGGTTTATGGCTCGTGATAACTCATGGGACAGGTGAGGGGGTCCCCGCGGGAAATATGATTAGTGGGTGATGTGGGTTTCCAGGGAGGAGGAGGAGCATGGGATGTTAGGACAGGGGGATGCCTGGCCCGGGCCGCGAACCCAGCCGAGGCGGCGACGCTCAGCACGTAGCGAGAGCTGGACGCGGGGCCCCTCTGCCGGGCCGCCATGCGGGGCGCAGGCGGACGCCGGCGTCCCGGAGCATCCTCCGCACGGCGCCGGGCTGGGGGGACCGTCGGCCTGCAGCTTC